CTTCTAGTCATTAAAACAGATAAGGGACTCATCTGAAGACTTTCTCACTCAGAATAACAGAGTTGGAAGCGACCTTGAAAGTCTTCTACTCCAATGCTCTACTCAAGCAAAAGTAACCATTTCAGACAAATGGTTATCCAGTATCTTCTTTAAATTGGAGCATTCACAACTTCTGGAGGCAAGTTGTTCCACTGATTAATTGTTCTCACTGTCAGGAAATTTCTTCTTAGTTCTAGGTTGCTTCTCTCCTTGATTAATTTCCACTCGTGGCTTCTTATTCTGTCTTCAGGTGTCTTTGGAGAATAGGTTGACCCCCTCTTCTCTCTGGTAGACCCTTCAATATTGGAAGACTGCTTATCATATCACCCCCTAGTCCTCCTTTTCATTAAACTAGATATACTCAATTCCTGCCTTTCTGATTCAGTAGGCCATTCTGATTCAGTGAAACTGAGTTTGTCAAAGGTTCCTAACAGCAAAAAAAAAAAAAAAAAAGTGGGAGGGGGGATGAAATCCTTACATGGGAAAATCAACGTCCAGCTCTTCTGAAGGATGTTTATCGAAGGAAAGTGGAAATAAAATATAAATGATCTGTGATGACATCCCACCAAGGAGGACGTCTCCTGGTTGCTGCCACTCATGTCGAACAGGGAGAGGATCATTTTTGGAGCATGTCTCTGCCGCAAATTTGCACACTGTGGGCGTAAAAAGAAAGAAAACCAGGGCTAGCATCGCCGTCAGGTGTCAGAGGTCCCACTGTGACACACACCTCCCCCCCCTTACAGATGCATGATTGCTATTAATGCCATTAGCATAGAATGGAAGGATTGGGAACAAAAGTGCTCTGGATAAAATGACCTGTCGTTTCAGGACACAGCTATCCTGAATGAAAACATCAAATGAGTTAATTCAGACTCATGGCTTTTTTAAAAATGCTTTTTCTGGTAGCTATTGGGAAGCAATTGGAGGTTGAGTGAATCGTGAGAGTCTGATAATTGCATAGAAATCATCGTTTCTGGTTTCGGGGTGGAGGGAGGCATGGGTAAGTCATATGATTTTCACATCGGCTTGCAATTCCATAGGGAAATTTGACTCCGGAGAAGTAATCTGACAAAAGCAAAGGGAATATGGCCTCGGTTGTAAACAAACAGACAAAAACCTTCTGTGTCATATGTGATGCTCCATTATTATCTTTTCCCTCCAAGGGAAATTCATATAAAGATATTGGTCAAATGGAGGAAAATCATTATTTCAACTCTTGTTTGGATCTCTGTGGAAATGACATGGGGGAACGCAGACTGGGTTTGAGTATTCCCGTGTTTGTCCCGACTGCTATTATCAGATAGAGCTGTGCAACTTTTCAAATCCAAAGAAAATAAAAAAAAAATAGTTTTGTGGAGTGCATGGAGTAACTTCAGGGTACCTGTTGGTAACCCTTTGAGCCAAACAGATTGTCCTGTCCCCGTCTCACACACGCACACTAGCAGTCGACCAAGAGTTAAAATAAACCTGCAGACAATAAGTTCCTTTGATAACAGAATTGGCAGCAACCCAGTAGCTGCTTGCCAAAAACTTTACTCACAGAGGGAGATTTTCCTAGTCTGTCAGATAAACCAAAATAAATTCACAAAGCCAAAGAATTGTCAAGTCCAGTCCATAATAAATCCAAGGAAGGCATATAACGGAGTTCCAGAAACACAGTATGACTTGCTAGCTGTTCAGTTTTGTCCGCCAGAAAGCCTGAATGGCCACCACACCCCCTTTTATCCCCTGTGGGGTGTGGTCCAGTAACTCAGCTTAATCTCTGGCACGCCTCCTTCTTTGCTGTGTGCGCTTGTCTTTCCGACGCTGGCGCGGATCCATCCAAGACTTATCTCCGTCACTGTCTAACTGCAGCTGCTCGGAGATGCCTGGCTCCTGGCCTATCTCTTCTCCTTTGGAAGACACCTGAGGCATTGCCAGAGAGGAGGGTCCTGGAGAGGGAGGCCTTGCCAACTCCTCTCCTTCACTTTCGGAATCTTCTCCCTCCGATAAGACAGGCTTGGGGGTCGGTGTCACAACACTGATATTCCCCAGGATTGCACTGTAGCAGCAGAATGCAAGTATCTGTTGGGACCAAAATCTAGTTTACAGTAGTGGCCAAAATTGTGGAAACCCTTTTTGGAAAAGTGTATTTTTGAGGTTTGATGGCTAATAATACCACTTTTTTTTTTTTTTTTTTTTGGAGTTTCAAGAGAATCATATTCCACTGCTGGAATGGCCTGGGAATAGCCCTGACCTTAACCCCATTGAAAATCTATGGAGCCGACTAAAGAAACTTGTTAGTCAGAAACGAAACCCAGCAATAAAACCCATTTAATAGAAGCCATCATTCAATCTTGGTTTCACATTATAACAGCTGCAGAACTAAAAGACTTGGTTCAATCCATGGGAAGACGTTGTAAGGCCTTAATTCATACTAAAGTTTACCGAACTAAGGATTAACTGACATGATAATTTTTGTATATCTCATGGCCTCCCCAGGCTCCAGCGGCCCTTCCCAAACTTCTGGTAGGCCCATTTTTCACCCTTACCAAGCCTCCGCACATGCCGTGCACTTACCTGCATCCAAAACAGGCCGTGTGGGGACTCCTGGGAGGGGTGGGGTGGGGTGGGTGGGGCCAGCCAAGAGTGGGATTTGGGTTTTCTCCAAACTGCACAGAATCTTAGCTAGAGTTTCTCACGAACCCCTACGAACCCCCAGCAGCCCACCCTGAATACAATCCTACATTGCATTAACAGAGGGATAGAATCAAGATCATATGAAGTATTACTACCGCTTTCTAAAACCTTAGTAAGACCACACTTGGAATACTGCATCCAGTTTTGGTCACCATGTTATAAAAAAAGATGTAGAGACTCTGTAAAGAGTGCAGAAAAGATCAACAAGGATGAGTAGGGGGCTGGGGTTATCTCTAGGAAAAGAAGTACTAGGGGGTGACGTGATAGCAGTATTATCATTATTATTATTATTATTATTATTATTATTATTATTATTATTATTATTATTATTATTAATTTGATTTATATGCCGCCCTTCTCCGGAGACTCAGAGCGGCTTACAATGTGTTAAGCAATAGCCTTCATACTTTTATATATTTATACAAAGTCAGCTTATTGCCCCCACAAACTGGGTCCTCATTTAACCTACCTTAGAAAGGATGGAAGGCTGAGTCAACCTTGAGCCTGGTAAGATTCGAACCTGCAGTAATTGCAGGCAGCTGTGTTAATAACAGGGTGCTTTAAACCACTGTACTACCAAGGCTACCAAGGCCAGTGTTCCAATATTTGAGGAGCTAACACAAAGATGAGAGGGGCAAACTATTTTCCAAAGCACCAGAAGGCAGGAGCCAATGGATGGAAACTAATCAAGGAGAGAACCAACTTAGAACTAAGGAGAAATTTCCTAACAGTGAGAACAATTAGCCAGTGGAACAGCTTTTCTTCCGAAGTTGCAGGTGCTCCATCATTGAAGGCTTTTAGGAAGCAACTGGAGAACCAGTTGCCTGTAATGGTATAGGGTCTCCTGCTTAAGCAAGAGGTTGAATTAGAAGACCTCCAAGGTCCCTTTCAACTTCGTTGTTCTGTAAAATACTGAATGTCCGAGTGGCGCAGTGATTAGAGTGCAGTACTGCAAGCTATTACTGCTAACTGCCGGCTGACTGCAATTTGGCAGATCTCACCAGGCTGAAGGATGGCTCAGGCTTCCATCCTTCCAAGGTGGGTAAAATGTGGACCCAGATTGTTGGGGACAAAATGATGACTCTGTAAACTGCAAAGAGAGGGCTGTAAAAGCACTGTGAAATGGTATATAAGTCTAAGTACTATTGCTATTGCTATATCCTCTAAACTTGTTTTTATTTCCAGACATTTAATTTCATTTCATTCCAAATCAGGGAACATCGTCAGTTCACTAGAAATAGAAATAAAATAACAGAGTTGGAAGGGACCTTGGAAGTCTCCTAGTCCAACCCCCTGCCCAGGCAGGAAACCCTACACCACTTCAGACAAATGGTTATCCAACCTCTTCTTAAAAATTTCCAGTGTTGGAGCATTCACAACTTCTGCAGGCAAGTTGTTCCACTTATTAATTGTTCTAACTACCAGGAAATTTCTCCTTAGTTCTAAGTTGCTTCTCTCCTTGATTAGTTTCCACCCGTTGCTTCTTGTTCTACTCTCAGGTGCTTTGAAGAATAGTTTGACTCCCTCTTCTTTGTGGCAGCCCCTGAGATATTGGAACACTGCTATCATGTCTCCCCTAATCCTTCTTTTAATCAAAATAGACATAATCAGTTCCTGCAACCGTTCTTCATATGTTTTGGCCTCCAGTCCCCTAATCATCTTGGTTGCTCTTCTCTGCACTCTTTCTAGAGTCTCCACATCTTTTTTACATGGTGACCAAAACTGAATGCAGTATTCCAAGTGTGGCCTTACCAAGGCATTATAAAGTGGTATTAACACTTTTAACATGATCTTGATTCTATCCCTCTGTTTATGCAGCCTAGAACTGTATTGGCTTTTATGGCAGCTGCTGCACATTGCTGGCTCATATCTAAATGGTTGTCCACTAGGACTCCAAGATCCCTCTCACAGTTACTATTGTTGAGCAAGGTACCACATATATGGTACCTGTGCATTTTCTTGGACACTAGAAATGTGTCTAAGAAAACAATCAAGGTCAGAAGGCATCAAGGAGCCCTCATTTCAAACCTGAGCTACAAATATTCTCCTTCATTGATTCTGATATCCTTTTAACTCAATTATGTCAAGTAGAATCCAGGATTATTACCTTTCGGTGCTTGATTTTAAATCAGTCCAAACAACATTACTCAGATATTTGATCATTGTTAACCATTAACACAGAGCACAAAGTCTTAAAGAAGACCTAATTATTCTTTTCTTTAAATAGGTCCTGTAAATAATCAGACCTAAAACAAAATATTTCATTAAAAGCAAAATGACTCATGAAACAGTGACATATTTTATTTTCCATATCCATTCATAAGAATATGACACAGTGTTAGATATGCCAAGGATATACAATATTAATAAAATTGATAGAACCCATAAACAAGCCCCATTTTTATTCATAGAAGAGGATTACTCATTTGGTTTCAGAGTAGAAATACATCAATCCATAATTTAATAATCAAAAATGCTTTTTCTTCACAAGTTGTCCTTTGCTGTTGAGGTTAGGCCTCAGCAAAATAATGTAGCATTTGGGGAAAAAGATGCATCCCAATAAACCAGCACTAGAAGCTAAGATGGAGAAGATCTCCACAGCTACCATATACTTTCCTTTGGTGCTCAAATACGTTGGAACAAAAGATAACCAAACACTACAAAACATCAGCATGCTAAAAGTGATGAACTTGGCTTCATTGAATGTGTCTGGCAGGTTCCTAGCCAGGAAAGCCACCATGAAGCTGATCAGAGACAGAAACCCCATATAGCCCAGAACAAGGTAAAACATCACAACAGACCCTTCATTACATTCTGCTATGATCTCTTCAGTCATTGATTTCATGTTAAGTTCTGGAAAGGGGGGAGAAGTGATCATCCATGCCAGACAAATGCCTCCTTGAATGAAGGATCCAGGAAAAATTATTAAGAAGGACAGTCTTTTCCCCAACCATTTTCTCATGCTGGATCCTGGTTTGGTGGCCATGAATGCTGCAATGACCATGATGGTTTTGGCCAACACAGAAGAAATGGCCACGGAGAAGATAATGCCAAAGATAGTTTGCCTGAGGATGCAAATCAGTTGTGGAGCTTTTCCAAGGAAAAGAAAAGAGCAGAGGAAGCAAAGCAGAAGGGAGATGAGGAGAGTGTAGGTGAGGTCCTTGTTGTTAGCTTTAACAATAGGGGTGTCTTTATATTTAATAAATATCCCAAATATAAACATGGTAATTGTTGAAAATAAAATAGTAATCACAACTAAGCTGATCCCTAAAGGTTCTTCAAAAGTTAGAAATATTATTGTTTTGGAGATGCATCGAACTTTGTCCTTACTTGGATATTGATCTTCTGGACATTCAGAACAGGCAATTGTGTCTGCAAATAAGAGACATACTGTAACCTCTGTAGATGCATTAGCAAAGACATACTGGTACCTGCCCACCCTTAGCATCACAAAATAGGCCTTAATAGAAGCATTAGCCCATCCTTCATTCTTTGCAAAGTGCCTTCTATGTTCTAGATCTCTGTATCCCATTTTATCTCCCCCAGCTCCTCTGTAACCCAGGCAGAGTCCTGGATCCCTGAGGTGAGAGAGGTTTCATTAGCATGATGTAATCAAACATTCTTTTTCTTCATTTTAGGAATTACCCTGTTTCCCCAAAAATAAGACCTCCCCGGATAATAAACCCAATCTGGCTTTTGAGCACATGCTCTAAAATAACACACACACACCCAAAAATAAGCCCTCCCAGAAAATATTTAAATGCATGGGCAGTCGGTCTCCACCATTTCCTCTGGTTAGGGTTAGAGAGACAGAATTGGAAATCAGGTATGATGGCAAGAGGAGTCCCGTCTTGCTCCATGTACCTCAAAATAATAAGACCTCCTTGAAAATAAGGCCAAGTGCTTATTTTGGGGTCCAAAAAAATATAAGACAGGGTCTTATTTTCAGGAAAACATGGCTTTTGACTCCAGTTTTATCCAATTTTACAGTATGTGTGCACTGTCAGCACTTCAACCTGCATTTACTCTAGTGCTGACATAAGAAGAAGAAGAGGGGCCAGCTGGCAAGAGGACGCTTGACACTTCACCTATTTTCATTGAAGATAATATCCCCTAGGAGATGAGAGGGAGGGGGGCATTCCTGGGAGCTTAGGTAGTAGATATGGGGAGAGTGATTTGGAAGAAGGCCAATGAGACGCAGAGATTTGGGAAATGGAAAGGGAGGGTCTGGGGTTAGGAAGACAGAGCTGGCTTCGCCACGAACGAGGCCAGATTGTCGTGCTTAATGAAAGATTTCTTCAAAGACTATCTGTTTGGAAATGCAATTTATTTTATTTGAAGACGATATCAAAACCTGACATACACCTTGTGAAATCTTTCAGTATGTGGATTGGCATTGGAATAAATGAAACAGAGAAATCAGGTATATGTTTATGTAAAAGTAATTTACTATCTGGTCAATTACACAGTGAACAACTCTAATATATCACAGAGTACAGTAGAACGAGGTACAGTGAGGTAGAGTAGAGTAGAGTAGAGTAAAGTAGAGTAGAGTAGAGTAGAGCAGAGTAGAGTAGAGTAGAGTAGAGTATGGTAGAGTGGAATAAGGCAAAATTGAATAGTGATGGTTGCTCCTGGGGAGGAAAGCTATGGCAAATTTAGACAGCATACTATAAAGCAGAGACATCACCCTGCCAACAAAAGTGTGTATAGGCTATAGTTTTCCCAGTTGCAATGTATGGTTGTGAAAGTTGGACCATAAGGAAGACTGAGCGCCAAAGAATTGAGGCCTTTGAACTCTGGTGCTGGAGAAGACTCCTGCAAGTCCCTTGGACTGCAAGCTGATCAAACCAGTCAGTCCTAGAGGAGATCAACCCTGACTACTCTTTAGAAGGCCAGATCCTGAAGATGAAACTGAAATACTTTGGCCACCTAATGAGAAGGAAAGACTCACTGCTGGGAACGACTGAGGGCAAAAGAAGAAGGGGACGACAGAGAATGAGGTGGCTGGATGGAGTCACTGAAGCAGTTGGCATGAGCTTAAATGGTCTCCAGGGGATGATAGAGGCCTGGTGCAACGTTGTCCATGGGGTCGCGATGGGTCAGACATGAGTTCGCAACTAACAACAACAAAGAGTAGAGTAGAGTAGAGTAGAGTAGAGTAGAGTAGAATATGGTAGAGTGGAATAAAGTAAAGTAGAATATGGTAGAGTGGAATAAGGTAAATTAGAATAATGTAGAGCAGAGTAGAGTAGAGTAGAGTAAACCTGAGAATAATTTACCTGACATATTTGACATCTTCCCATCAGAACATTGATCACAATCATAGCAACAAAATTTCTTGCCTTCTTTCTTTTTCTTCTGATAGCCAGCAGGACAGGGATCATTGCACACTGAATGGGGCAAGACCTGTGAATAAACCAGGAACTCAGCACTGAAGACTTGAATAATACTGGACAGTCATCCTCTAATCTATCTGACCAAATAGAGCAACATCAGATCATGAAATGAAATGCTACCCTTGGAAATCTCTACAACACTTCCTAAATATTGCATATGGTTGCATCCAAATTATCCTTTCCTTTCCCCTCTCCTGATCAAATGAAGCAGAAGGAGAAGTGGTTTAAATTACTTAAACTAAGTAATAAGTGATACAAGACTTATTACTTAGTTTAGGTAAAGGTTCCCCTTGCACATATGTGCTAGTCGTTCCTGACTCTAGAGGGTGGTGCTCATCTCTGTTTCAAAGCCGAAGAGCCAGCTCTGTCCGAAGACATCTCCATGGTCATGTGGCTGGCATGACTAAATGCCAAAGGCGCACGGAACATTGTTACCTTCCCACCAATGGTGGTCCCTATTTTTCTACTTGCATTTTTTACGTGCTTTCTAACTGCTAGGTTGGCAGAAGCTGGGACAAGTAATGGGAGCTCACCCTGTTATGTGGCACTAGAGATTCGAACCACTGAATAGCTGACCTTTCAATCGACAAGCTCAGCATCTTAGCCACTGAGCCACCGCATCCCTGGCTTACTTAGCTTAGTACAAGCAAAAAAATGAACAAATAAATCACCACATTAAGTGTGCCTCTGAGCTCCAGTTTCGCGGATTAAACTTTCATCCTAGTTTCATTTTTATACTATTGTTTATTTAATGAAGTCTTTGCAACCCCAATGATGATGGAACCTTTTGTGATCTCATTGATTCTCAAACTTTTTTTATTCTTCAATATTATTTTATAGTTTCGGCAGCACATATACTAAAATTGGAACGATACAGAATATTATTTTAGAGTTTACTTGTGTCCAGGATAATAGCAATATTCCCCATTTCTCTTCCCCCCCCCAAAAAACCTTGTTATTTACCAATTATAATTCCATCAGAGTAGGAAAGAATCGTACAGAATGGCTAATTTTAACTGATATAATGCAAATGTAAAATAACGCATTGTAAGCCGCCCTGAGTCTCCGGAGAAGGGCGGCATATAAATCAAAAAAAATTTAAAAAATGAAAGGCTATACAATTAAACAATTATTTGAACACATAGTTAATTTTAACTGATTAAAGTTAATTTTAACAAATTACAGGATCTGAAAGACAGCTGCAGAATGAAACTTATCTCTGATCTCCCAATCTTCCATCCACAATAAATAAAATACCTCAAAATCCATACCTGCTTAAAATCTTTGTGCCAAACAATTAAATCTTCATGAATGACAAACTCCTTTCCTGCAAGTGTTTTGGGATCCATCTTTCCGATTTTCACTTTGCGGTACGAATTGTTTGAAAACATGACCACATTTGTAATATCATATCCAGAAAGCACTTCTCCCTGGTGGTTGATGGACACAGTTTCTCCAAGGGAATTATTGAATGAAAGGCCTTGGAGAAACCAGTGAAGCTAAGTAAAAAAAAAAAAAAAAGAGGGGAAAAAATAAGGGGAAGCAAAAAGTGGATTACATCAAGACATTTTGAAATTTATATCTATAGAAATGAAAGTGGCATTGCTTCAGAGGTGGTATTCAACCAGTTCAGACCAGTTTGGGCAAACTGGTAATGGCGACTGTGGGTGAGATATTGGAACACTGCTATCACGTCTCCCCTAGTCCTTCTTTTCATTAAACTAGCCATACCCAGTTCCTGCCACTGTTCTTCATATGTTTTAGCCTCCAGTCCCCTAATCATCTTTGTTGCTCTTCTCTGCAGTCTTTTAGAGTCTCAACATCTTTTTTTACATCGTGGCAACCAAAACTGGATGCAGTATTCCAAGTGTGGCCTTACCAAGGCCTTACAAAATGGTATTAACACTTCACGTGATCTTGATTCTATCCCTCTGGTTATGCAGCCCAGAACTGTGTTGGCTTTTTTTGGCAGCTGCACGGCTGGCTCATCTTTAAATGGTTGTCCATTTAATGTCTGTAAGGGGTATGCATAAGTGCACTAGCTTGCCTACAGTCCCTGTCCTAATATTCCTTTTTACTTACTCTTTTTATGTATTCAAATTATGTTTATACTTTTACCTGTTATCTTATATATGCTTGACAAATAAACTTATGATTATGATTATGTGTTGTGGCCCATCAGCGGCCTGTGCAGCTAATAGCTGATTCCGATAGTGAGGAGGCTGGTGTGGTGCTGCGCCAGCAGCCTGTACAGCTGACACTCAAGACAATAAGGAAGCTGGAGAAGATGTGGTGCCAGAGGCAGGGATTCAGTCAGGGCCTTCAGAACCTCCAGAAGCTCCCATAAGTGAAGAGGAAGAAGAGGAGGAGCCTCTTCTCGATGCACAGACGTGCAGAGCTGCCAAAAGGCAGGAGTGGTTCCTCAGGAGGAGGTCTCCTCGAGAGTAAGGCTTGGGGTTAACTCCCTTAGCTTATTTAAGGAAGGACGACAACTGAGGCAATTCGCAGGGAACAACTTCGTTCATTCTGCTTCGCATCCTGATCTTAGTTCTCTTATCAGTTTCCTGCAAATTGCTTCTGGGCTTTCTGCCAACCATAGTAAGATTACGATTATTTATTCTTTGGATTCTTGTAGGCTGTTAAGAAAGTTAATTAACAGCCTTTATTTGAAAAAGACTGATTTAATTTAGTAAAATAAGGTTTGTACAGACTTTGTGTGTGCTGCGTTCTTTGGGGTCCGTAGCTGGGGCAGAACATTAGGATTATGTGATGCTAATCCGCTTCTGCCAATAAAGGTTTTGATTTATAAGTTGTTACCTTCCAGGTGCCTTGATCTTGAAGTTCATCTCTTCTAATTGCTGTCACTCTTTTGTATTTAGACTTAAGTATGTACATGCCATGAACAGCGTGGGCTACAGCATAGACTGCATTGTAGATACTATAACTGTGGCCAGTCATTTCAAATAAATGTGCAGGAAGTCTTTTTAGCTCTTCCTTCCCAGTACAAGCTTCGTCACTTTCCACTGGTTTATTACTCTCTGAAAAGACACAATCGAAGCCTTGCTCCCAGAACTCTTTCAACAAACTATCTCGTTGGGTCCGGAATGGTTTGAGGGCCCAAAGGAATTCGTCAAAGCCCGGCAATTCATTGGAGTGAATGTCAAAGGAAATTGCTCCATCGAACAATTGCAAATCAGAGGGTTGATGCAGACTTGTTAACGTTAAATCCATTTGAGCTGTCAGAATCCAAACCTTTCCAAGGATTAGGTATGTATATTTGAGGAAGAGGAAAAGGAGCATTGCTGTCAAGCTTTCTCCATAGAAGATGAATGTATTGACTATGGTTTCCCTCAAATAAACGTTTATCCTACCCACCATGGAACCATGAAACATAGAAAAAAATGCTTGTTTTGGAAACCTCTCCACAAAAGCAGAGCAGATCCTGTTCTCCGAAAGTAGCGGGTCCAGAGCTTCGAGGAAATTGTCTCCACTGTCATCATCCAGAATTAAAAGGCCAACCCAGGTCCATCCAAAGTGCTTCAGCAAATGGATAATCCCTGCAGTCTGTAGAATTTCATTGGGAGCCATGTGATAAAAGGAAGCAGCCATCTTTGTTCCATGCTTCTTGGGAGCAAATGAGCCATAGGCAAGCTGAAATAAAATGGCAGTTGATTGCTTAAGGTTGGAATGTATGACTTATATATTTCTTAAATTTATATTATACTAGCTAATAACCCAGCATTGCCAGGGTATTTATTTATCCCAATCCTGTATTAGACAGGAAGAGCAACTTCACCCTGAGCCCTGATTTTGCCTAGAATTAAATTAGTTAAAAATGTTTTCCCTGTGCCCCCAGAAGCGTCAAGTAAACTGATAACACCTTGTTGTTTTGCTAGCTGATCCATGATCATTTGGTATGCTTTTTTTCTGATCTTGATTTAGAAGTGGCTTCTTGTCCGCAATATATGCACTAAGCTCTTCGACATTGTCGTTCTTTTCTCGTATGTAATCTGCGTGAAGTACGTCGTGTTGGTCTCGTTGTGGTGCAGGCAAGCCAAGTTGCAGTAATGTTTTATTGATCATGGCCATATATTTGTCCTCAAGAATAATCAAAATCTTGTTGAAAATGTAATTTCTAATGTTGGATTTTCCCCCTTAGCAGAGCCTACTTGTGGAGTACTGTGAAGCCGTTACCATGGCAACTCCACTGTGCTGTACAGTAGAATCCATTTTAAGGCAGTACGGTAGAAGCCATTTTAAGGCAGAACAGGCTGTATCTTAACAGAACACACACCCCAAAGGGAGTTAGGGATGTCTTAACCCCACAGAATTTTTTTTCAGAGAGTAAGTCATCTAGGTACCAAGTTTGGTAGAAATTGCTCGAGGCGTTCCAGAGTTATGCTGGAACATACACACACACAGAGAGAGAGCATTTATAGATAGATAGATAGATAGATAGATAGATAGATAGATAGATAGATAGATAGATAGATAGATTATATTCTTAAATTTAAGAATATATATTTCTTAAATTTATCTCAAGAGGACATAACCAGTATTCTAAGTAACCCTGTAGGTTTCGTAGAGAGATGGTGATGGGCACAGTTCCCCCTTCGTTCCATGACTGAGGATGAACTTATACTAAATGAACACCTAACATTTTCCAGCTTGCGCTTGCATTTTCAGACACCATTTTAAACTAACTATTTTCAATGTGGTGCATCAGATATGACTTAATTCCAATTCCTCCACTTCATTAGGTCCTATTGACGCATCACTGAAGCAGAAGCCAACTCCTACTTGGTAAATTATCGTTTCCCGTTCCCTTCAATTTGGCCCTATGGGTGAGTTTTCATACATGTCAATACCTTACATCAGTGATGGCTAACCTTTTCCAGATTGAGTGGCCAAAGCACATGTGCGCAGGTGCGCATGGGTGCATGTACGTGCCCAAACCCCCAAAATGCAATGCATGAAAATGAAGTTTATTTAAGATAGCAGCGAAACCTGGCCCCCGTGCTTGTGTTGTGGCTCTGACCCCCGAGCCCATCTTATCAGAGGAAGAAGGCTCCGAAAGGGAAGGAGAGGAGTTGGCCGGGCCTCCCTCTCCAGGACCCTCCTCTCTGGCAATGCCTCAAGTGTCTCCCGAAGGAGAAGAGATTGGCCAGGAGCCAGGTATCCCCGAGCAGTCGCAGTCGGACAGTGACGGAGATGAGTCTTGGCTGGATCCACGCCAGCATCGGAGAGATAAGCGCATGCAACAGAAAAGGAGGCATGCCAGAGATTAGGCTGAGTCACTGGACTACACCCCAAAGGGTATAAATGGGAATGTGGTGGCCAGTCAAGCCTTGTGACGAACAAAGCTGAAAGCTTCCCCGCCATTCTGCATTGCCGGACTTTTGCTATAGGCTTTGCTGAACTACATTTGTGAACTGGACTTAATTTACCCTGTATTTATTGAACATTTACTTTGATGTACAAAAGCGGAGAGAAGTTCTCTCCTCCCTTCGTAAGTAAAAGACTCTTGGCAGGCAGCCACTAGGTTGCTGCCAAGTTCCGTTATCAAAAGGGAGTTTCTTGTCGGCTGGTTTGGTTTTTAACTCTTGGACGTCTGTTGGTGTGCATGTGTGGGACGGGGACAGAACAGCTTGTGCCCCACCCCCCTGCATACACATGCCCCCTGCATGCGCAGCAGAGACCTGAAGACCAGCTGGCCAGCAAGAGGTGCACACACATGCTCAGTGGAGCTGAACTAGGGCAACAGCTCATGTGCCTTCAGAGAGGGCGCTGCATGCCACCTCTGGCACATGTGCCATAGGTTCACTATCATGGCCTTACATCTAACCTAGTAGCTTTTTTTAACATATTATTTTTAATATGTTGCATCACATATGTCTTAATCCCAACTCCCAAATTTCATCAGTCCATTTTGACGCAGAATTGACGCAGACTTTAACCCCTACTTGGGAAAGAATTGTTTCTCCTTCCTTTCAAGTTTGCCATATGGACATGTTTTCACACACATCAATACATATATATCTTACCTGTGGGATTTTATAAAGGCTTATGATATCTGACATGAAGAATGATATATCAGCACCAAATCCTCCAATAATGGCCACAATGAGATTTTCCTTGATACCACATCCATAGTTGACAACCAACTGATCGGATCGGAAGAGCAGTTCCAAAGTGGAACGGTAAGTCAGCCGGGCATCAAAATAGTTGTCACTGATGAAAAATCCCAGAGTAACGTTAGACAAGAGTCTTGGATTTGAGTTGATCTGTTTCACTGCAAATGCCAAACTGAGGGAATGCTGATACAACTTTAAAACAGCCCTGAAAACATAATTCAGGGATGAGTGAAATACTGAGGA